ATTACATTGCTAACTCCAAAGGAAATGGAATCATCAACCAAGTTTCCATTGTAATAAACGTAGTAACAATGTCCAATTATAAGGTCAGCACCCCCACCCACCAAGGAGGAGTGTGCACCAATAACTCTTTAATTTCATCTGATAGTTTAAAAAGTATCCTGAGAACTTAAGCTTCTTTTCCCAATTAGCTAGTTATAAAACAGCAAGAAAAATATTAACCACTGAACTTGCCACTTTTTGATAGCATAATATCCACTTCTTTGAATGGCAAACTGCCAACTAAAGTTCTGTCTGAATTCTGCAGATTGTTTTGCTGGCAGAGGCTAAAACTCCTGCTTCTTCTGAGGCATTTGGTTTTCATATCTAAATGCATCTCTTTGCAAGAAGAGAAAAATGGTCACACACATAATTTCATATCTACATCACTAAAAGCAAAGTGGGTCAAATCTAAATTTAATAAGCCGACCATGGAATCTTGGTAGGTCTGCTTCCTTTGTTCTCAAGAAGGTGAAAGCATCCTATTGATGTGAATGGAAGGAATTAAAATACTGAAAACTACAGATATTCTAACTATTGCTATTACCTCTCAAATTCAAACTATAATGCCAAAGAACATTTTATAGTTAAATTACAGTTTTGCTTAAAATGTATAACCAACCATAAACCAGAGTTGCCAATTCTATTAGTAATCTGGGATATAAGTAATACTAGATTAGTACTAGAATCTGTTTCCAGTGAAAACTCATTTTCTAAAGCCTAAATCAGGGGTTCTTAAAACTTTAATGTACATAAACACTGCAGGGGTTGCTTCTGAAAGGCAGATACCTCAGGCCCCACCTCAACAGACTGGTCAGTTGAGGGGTTAGAGAGCTGTATACTAATATGTATTTTCAACAAACTGTTCTAGTGACTCTGACACTGTCCTAATATAAATTTTTCAAAGAAAGGTTCAGTTTATAATCTAAGTTTTTGTACTGAACGAAAGCATATTTTTCCTTTTTCTTTTGGATATCAAGAATAATTTCTGAAGAGATTTAAAAATAAATTTCTTATATCCTCTCATGGTAAATACATGTTACTATTACCTCAATCTCCAAATGCATAATTAAGTATACTCATTTAAAGTCAAATTATTCATAATTCAAAGTTCTCCAAAGCTTGCTCACTAACTGCAGGATCAACCTAATCTTCAGCAATTCAAGCATTCTCGATCCAAACCAGGAGACCACTCAAGACATTTTATAGAGCTAAAGTTCTAAAACATTCTGCTTTATAAATTCTCCAATGCAACTTAAGTTGCCCTGATCCTTGCTTAAAATTGTTGGTCTTTATGTAGGTCAACAATAATGTTTCGAATATGACATAAGGGGAAAAGTTCTGATTCTTTGGAGGAGAATTATTTTCTTAACATAAAAGTAATTAATAATGAGCACTGGGTGTTATATACAACTGATGAATCACTGAACTCTACCTCTGACACTAATAATACACTATCTTACTTAATTGGATTTAAATTTAAAAAAAAGAAAGAAAAAAGTAATTGGTCTAGTTGACCTATTATCTTAGTTTTTTTAGTGATAGGATAAAGAATGAAAATGATCATCCCTATAAATATTCATATCTGGTGGTAATAAAACCACCATTTAAAAAGCAGCAGGCATGCTGGTATTATATATTTAGCTGTCAGTATACTTCATATTTCTCTAATGTGCTGCTGCTTCAGACAGTGGCCTTATCCTGATCCTTTCATTAACACTTCTCATTAACCAAAGCAGCATAGAGGGGTAATTTTCTGTTGGTCACTGCCCTTTTAACTTCTTGATAGTTTAACTCTGCTTAAGTCAAATAGTCTAGACAAACGTGTATGCTATTCACAGGACAAATCTTTTGGCACAATAAAAGCTGACTGAGCTTTAAAAGCACTTGTCTCAAAGACACATGATAATCACTAGTAAACCACAAGGTATAGAGAGCAAACAGTGCGGCAGAAAGAATAGTCCATTTGGGAAAACACTAGGATCTAAAGATGTATGCATACAGGATAGCAAGAAAAGAGGCACCAATAATATCTTCCCTTCTTGGACATCTACAGTGCATATGTTTGGCATATTAAAGTTCTGGAATAAGGACACTTCTTAATCTCAATATTTCTCAATTTTGCTTGACCACAAAATCTTTTATCTTCAGTAGTATCTTGAATATGTTCTATAAATACGTGATTTGGACAAAAAAAAATCTAACTTCTCTGTGCCATTATTTCCTCATACACAAAAAAGATTCAATAATAATACCTCACCTATCTCACAAGATTGGTGGGAACAAATGAGTTGGTACTGTAAACCTGCTTTGTAAATCATATGCACTGCTGGATATACGTCATCATTACCATTAAGATTAACAGTTTAGGAGCTGCATTTCATTCTTTACGTGGGGAGTCAAAAACAAAGAAAATGATAGCTGAAGGGAATAAAATATTAAATGCATCTCTTCCACAGATTTCTCATTCTTAAAAGCACAAGTGAATCCCAATACTTCTCACAGTAGTAACAAGCCATACAAAGGCACTGCCATCTGCAGGCCATAGGGATGGAATGCTTGCAATAGTTATTAAGAATGAAGTTTCAAACCACAAGGCACTCTTTCATCACACCTCTAAAACCTCACCAAAGGACTTAGCTTTTGAGCACTGGTAGACTGAAGCTCCATTTGCTGAAGTTCTGAAATGGACTTGAGTAAGAAATTCTCATTTCTTTTCTAAACAGGACCGATGCTGAGAAATGTGAAGAAAATCATCTTAGCCTTATTTGTAAGTTCTACGTTTTGCTCTTACCAAAGTAACCCCAAGGAATGTGGATTTTTTTTAAACTGTTGAGAAAACAACACCTGAATGGCCTAAAAGCACACTTCTCTGAGTTTCCTTTCAATGGATTAAAGTAAATCTGTTCTCACACAAAAACAGTTTATGAACAGGCCATACAAATAGAACAGACTGTTTACAGAAATAAGTTAATCTGTCAATGCCTCCCTTTCTTTGAAAGATCTAATTAGCTTTATTCAACAATTCACCAATTGACAGCATCTGATCTAGCAAGTACAAAGGAGCTCCTAAAACCTTCTTTAAATGCGTGTTCACTGGCATGTGACATTGAACAACCTGCACCTAGAAAAATTCCTTCCACTGGGCCTTGAAATATGGTTTCTCCAGCACATTCTACATGGAAAGCTAGTTTCTAATTTTTTTTTTAATTTTTATTTATTTATGATAGTCACATAGAATGAGAGAGAGAGAGAGGCGGAGACACAGGCAGAGGGAGAAGCAGGCTCCATGCACCGGAGCCCAACGTGGATTCGATCCGGGTCGCCAGGATCGCGCCCTGGGCCAAAGGCAGGCGCGAAACCACTTCACCACCCAGGGATCCCGGAAAGCTAGTTTCTATGTTTTAGGTTAAAAGATCGTATCAGAGGTTTCAAAGAGTATCTGGAGAGTGACAGATGAGCTAAAAGAAAGGCAAAGAAACTAGAGTATAGGAAGAAATAGATGTTAAATGGCCAAGAGATCTCCATTACTCACAATGCAAAGAGCTTGGGCTTTACTGGTTGGAAAAAGGCAACATGAAAGTTAGTTTTCACACCCAGACTGACTCATACAAACATTAAATCTGGAGTTGTCAAAAACCAAAACGGCTCCATCGTCATTATGCAGAAACTGTCAGGTGGTTACCACACCCCGCAACGCTACAAAAACACTGAGGAGGCACACCGGGTGCACTTGAGCTGAAGTTCCTGCGGTTCCCTGGGACTACGGATTGTAAGTCAACAATGAGAACGGCTTACAACGAAGAAAGCCTTATAATATTAATTACCATCCCCGAAGATCCTGGGGCATTTCATGGAACCCGCTATGCCTCCGGGAAAAATTCTGTGCACAGAGCGAAAGCCAGGACCACAATTAACCCCATACTCCTTAGGGCAGCGTTTCCCAAAGCGTGGAACGCAGAATAATTTCAGGAGGAACGAGGACGCACTGTTTATTTTAATAGATAGGTATTTATTTTGTTTATGAGCATTAGAAAAATAACTGGCTTTCCATTATACGGCTTGTGATTTACGTTTCCACCTTAAATTCATTTAAGAAGGAAGAAAAAGTCGGTTTAAAAGGAAAAAAATTAACATTTGGTAAACAGCAGTACAGATGGTACACGGACAGAAAGGTGCAACGCGAGAGACTGAAATTTGGGAAACGCCGTCCTAAAAAAAAATTAAAAAAAAAAAAAAGAAAAAAGAAAAAAAAAAAGGCCCTCGGCGGGTTTTGGGAGCGGAGAGTGTCCTGGGTCAGGAGACGGAAGAGCCAGCGGAGTGGGGCGCCGGCGCTCATTTCCGCGGTAACCTCGGGCACAGTTTGTGGGCCCGGGGTCCGCGTTATAAAAGGGGTGCGGGTATCACCCAAGGAGACAAGGCGCCTCGAAGATGCCGTCAGGGGGCCGCGGGGCGGCGGCGGCGGCGGCGGCGGCGGGGCCCAGCGCTCGGTTCGCCGCGCGGCGCCCAGGAGAACGCCCGGAGTGGCGGGCCGGGCCGCCTGGGTCCGAGTTCGAATCCCGACCTGCGCCACCGACTCGCTGAGGACCCGCAGGCGAACGACTTCACCATTTCGAGAAAAAGGCGCGGAGTGTGCAGGCCCGCCCTACAGAGAAGCTCGGAGAACTACTGCCGGCGGTTCGCGCGCAGAGAGGCGGGCGCGGCGCCGCGCCGCCCGGACCCGAGCCCACCACCGGCCGCCCCGGCGGCCCGGGCCTGGGCTTGACGGGAGCCAGAGGCCGCGCCCCGCACCGGGCATGCGCAGCTCCGCGCGCACCCGGAGAGGAGTCGAGGCCGCGGCCGCGGCCGCGACAGCGCGTCGAGCGGGCCCTCCCGCCTCAGCCTCCCGGTCCGGCCCGGGCCCCCTCAACCGCCTGCCGTGAGCCCCACGCCTCGGCGGACGGCCACCGCTTCCCAGCACTCACCGCTACCAGCGCGGCGGGCTCCCGGCCGCTCCTTCGCCTCACGCCCGCCCCTGCCGCCTCCACCTCAGCCCACCTGCCCGCCGTAGGACAAAGGCGCCACCAACCGACCGGCGCGGGCACGAGGCAATGGCGGCCGGGGCGGAGAGTGGGGGCAGAGGGCGCGCACGCAGCGGCAGGCGCGGCAGTGTCGCAAGAGCGCGCGGGTTTATGGCAGGGCTGAGTTGGGCGTCGATCTCCTTGGCAACGAGAGGGGGAAGTGGCTCCCCGGCGGCGGTTGGGAACGCTAGGGGTTGCCTAGTAACGGCGTCCCCGGCTAAGGCTGGGTCCACGCTCCGTCCCTTCCGTCCCCCACGAAAGGCTTCGCCTTTCTTCTAAGTTTTGGAGCTCTTTCCATTCTAACTGTGGAGATAGGCCACTGAAATCCTAAAATGCTTTGATTTAGTTTTTCACAAAGCGAAACAGAAAACAATGTGGATGTGTGTGTTGGAGAATAGTGTATACACATTCCTGTAAATTCCGGATCCCAAGGAACAAAGGGAGCAGAGAGGTAGAGAAAACGTTTTATTTAAATTTACATCTAAATAGGCTGTGTACCCTATTCGTTTCGCAGACAAGGGGCAAAAGGCTTCTGGTGATCCAGTTACAGGTTCTTTTGGAGTTATTTCTTCCTGCAATATTTATTCAGTGTCAAAAATAAATTTCCTGTGAAGCATGTAAAATGCTGTATTGTTCATTTAATCCCTAGAATAATTTATCAGAGGGAGTGGAATTTGCTCACACAATTGTAAATACACTTTATTAATCACAGCTATTGCTCTATGAATCAGGTAGGGTTTTTCGTTAGCCAGGATATGCCTCAGACCCCATGGGGGGGTTCGCGGGGGGGGGGTCTAGTTTTTCTCCTGGTGAATAGTGCATGCCAAGTAAAAATAGTGGCTGCGGAGTTGGAACGGCTATGGGAACTCAGATTTCTTTGATAACCACTCATTTGTTGCCCCCTTCACTCATTTGCTCACTGAATGTTTATTATACACCTACTAGGTGGCCCCATGATTTATTAGACACCAACTTTCCAAGCACAGTCAGGAGCAAATGCAGACCCATCTCTGCTATCTTGGAGATTACTGCCTAGCAGAGAGAGAGGAATTAGGTGAATAATCACACTTGAGTGTATAGTTACAAACAGTAAGTACTTGAAGAAAAGAAACAGGGACACACCGTATTGTCTAGTTTGTCTCACCTGTGATGAGCGCAGGGTGTGCCTGATGCCTATGGACAAATGGTCTTCGGGTACCTAAAAATTCATAATTCATCATGGCACCCAGGAAAATGGAAGCTGAGTGGTTTTTCCCACCTTTGCTGAGAGCTCCTGGAGCCAGATAGGGGCATATACACCCAGATTTTTGTTTTGTTTTGTTTTTCTTTATTTTTCCCCAGGTTGTTCACTCACTCTAGGTGAGAAGTCTCAGGATTTTGTGGATTTGCCTGCTTTCCTGGTATCCTTTTCTGGGCAGGTGACACACTTGACACAGTTCAGAATCTTCTGTTTCTTTCCTCGGTTGCTCCTTTTTGATGTTTATGCCATAAAGTACGATTGTTCATTGTTTGGCTGAATTGATTAATTCCTTTAATTTTCTGGTATCTCTAATTATTACTATTTTTCTGGTTAGATATACAGAGACAGAGATTTTTGTGGCCCAACTTCATCTTCCTATCTCTTCTCACCCAGAAAATTTCACATTATATTAGTTATTATTCACATCCATCCATGAGATAGGTGCTATATAATTTGAACTTCAAAAATTCCTAAACATTTCAAACATACATTAAAAGTACATTAAAAAATATAATACATACCCTTCTACTCACTGGTAAGACTCTCTTCCCATTTCCTTGCTCTCCCTTCCCAAATAATCACTCTCCTGAAATACATTCCGACATATATTTTGTACTTTAATTATAAAGGTGTATCTGTATATCAATATATCTTCAATCTGTATATTATTGTTTAATGTGTTTAGATATATTTTATGTATCCTTTCCCAACTTTTATCTTTTTAATTCTGTTAGGTTTTCAAAATTTAACTGTGCTGAGACCTATAACTAGTTTTGTGGCCCGTGGATCAGCAAGGAGCATCAGTAACAGCTGAGAACTTGTTAGAAATGCAGAATTTCAGCCCTACCCAAGACCCATTGAATCAGAAAACTTCAAGGGTAGGACCCAGCGGGCGCCTGAGTGGCTCAGTGGTTGAGTGTCTCAGTGGTTGAGATCATGCCTCAGAGCATGATCCTGGGATCCAGGATCCTGGGATCCAGGATCGAGTTCCACATCAGGCTCCTCGCAGGGAGCCTGCTTCTCCCTCTGCCTATGTCTCTGCCTCTCTCTCCGTGTGTCTTTCATGAATAAATAAATAAAATCTTAAAAAAAAAAAAAAACAAAAGGGTAGGACCCAGCCCTTTGCCCTTTCCCAAGCCCTACCTGGTGATTCTGATACATCCTAAAGTCTGAGAACTACTGCTCTAATATATACATTTTATTTGCTATATAGTATTTTATTGTATGAATCAGCCATAGTTTGTGTATCGGTACTAAGAAACAGATTTTCCTTCTACTACAAAGTGTACTGCACTAGTACGTACCCCCTTGGAATATGTGTGAGGATACACCCTTAGGAGTGGAACTGCTGACTTTGTAGTATATATTACATCTTGAACTTTAGGAGGTTTAGCCAGACTGCTCTCCAAAGAAGTATTAATGTATACTCCTGCCAGCAGTGTTCAAGTATCATTTCTAGATACCCTTATCAAATTTGGATACTTTCAGACTTTATTCATTCACTTATTTTTGCTTATGACTATAGATATGCAATGATCTCTTTGTTCTTTTAGTCTTAATTCTCCTGAATTTAGTGATGTTGAGCGTATTTTCTTACAGGCTATCTAAGTTACTTCCCTTATGAGCCCCCTGTTGATATTTCTAGACCATTTCCATTGGGTTCATTTTTGTTTTCTTTATTGGTCCACAGGAGTTGTTTACATATTCTGGATACCAATCTACTGTTAGGATTAGGTCTTCTCTGCAGTTTGTCATTTTACTTTATTAATGGTGTCTTGTCATTCATAAGTTTTGCTGTTTAATGTAATCATATGTTTCAACATTTCCCTTTATGGTTTGTGGTGTTCTGGGTCTTGTAAAAGAATTCCTTCCCTTTCCTAATGTCATTTAGATAGTCTCCTTGGCAAATACTATTATTATGTCAGTTTTCCGGGTGAGCCAGTGGAGTCACAGAGAGCTAATATAGCTTGCCTAAAGTCACAGAGTAGTAGAGGTGAACAGCTTGGGCTCTTGACCTCCAAGTTGCACTGCATTCCATGGTTTAGAAACTTCTTGCTGTCTTGCTCTGGTAATGTCTCATGGGAACACTTCTCAGCCTTTTCTGTAGACACAGAAAGTGTGCAGAGCTCAGATGTGCTGACAGTTAAGTGCAATTCTCATTTACTACATAATGAAGCACTATGGCTCTAGACTTCAGGATTTCTAAAAATATTTTTCAAATATTCAAATAATTTCAGATTTACAGAAAAGTCACAAAAAATAGTACAAAGAATTCCTGAATGTCCTTTGCCAAGATTCTCCAAATATTGAACATTTTACTTTGTTTGCTTTATAACTCTCTACGTGAGTGTTATTTCCTCTGTGTTATTTCTATATCGTCTAATCCACAGGCCTAATTTGAATATCACCAGTTGTTCCACTAATGTCCTTTAGAGCAAAAGAAACAATTTGTTTTTCTGGTCCAGGACCCAGTTTAGGGTTACATGTTGCCTTTAGTTTTCATCTCTTGGGCTTCCTTTGATCTGTGGCAGTTCTTTAGTCTGTCTTTGTCCTTCATAACCTTGACATTTCTGAAGAGTACAGGCCACTTATTTTGTAGAACGGCCCTCATTGGGACTTGTCTGATGTTTCTCCATTGTTAGATCCACGTTCTACACTTTTGGCAGGAATACACAGAAGTGATGCTGTGATGCTCTGTCCTTTTCAGCCAGCAATTGTCCTTTGACGAGAACCCTCTGCAATATTATGTGCATACATACATTATTATGTGCAGGTGAAATGATTAATATCTCTTCTTTCTAATTCCCAAAGGATTCACATGACCCAACAGAGGCCAAGAAATTCTTCATTCCTATATGCTGGTGTTGGAGGGAGTCCTTGCCAATAGGTGACAAGGGAGGAAAGAGGCACAGAGAGTGGGGTGATTGCCAGCCTGCCCGGGACCTGCCAGTATGGCCCTGGGCATCTACCTGGTGTGCCATGTACACAGAACTCCGACACTTCAACCTTCTTAGCTTAAGTCTAATCAGGGAATTTACCATTTACAAGACCTGAGTGGATCAGAACATAGGCTGTAGAATCAGACTAGCCTACATTCACAACTCTGCTCTACCACTTCCTAGCTGGGCAGACTTGGGCATGTTCTTTAACCTCCATGACTCCTTTTCTTCATTTATAAAATGGGAATAGGAATAGTATGTGCCTCATAAGGTCAACATGAAGCAAGTTAAATGAGGTAATAGTTATCATGCATAACGTTCTTAGAATCACGTCTGGCTTATCGTGTAGGATATCCTGATGTATTATGACCCCATGATTTGTGTCTTTCTATAGATTTGTTTGTCCTCGCAGTTTGTTAGATATCCCTAGAAAACAGAGGCTCTTAGGTTTTCATGGGCTACTCTGTTCACAAATGGAATAAATTGAATAAATATTGGAAGGGAGTGGTCAATAAATCCTTGTTCCCCAGGACATTGGATGGGGGTGGAGGGGACTTTGTTGTGATATTAAGTTCCTGGTGAACCCCAACTGAATTAATAGCTCCTCAAAGTAACATTCTGCCAACAAAGTGGATCAGATTGGGATGGCCCCCACTTGGCAAGTTCTGTTGTATGTTGAAAGGAGCAGCTCAGGGAACTGCAGAATAGCCACCCTATGATCTCTCCCAGCCATCAGGGATACCAGCCTCTAACACACCCATCGATGTCAGTATAGCTTTGTACAACTGTGGAAGTCAGAGTAATGACTTCCTGGAGGTATCCATATCCTAATCTCTGGAACATGTGAATATATCCCCTTACAAGGCAATGGG